GCTAATAAATCCAATCATCCAAACTAGAACGCGTTATTTTCGTCACGCGTATCACCATACACGTGACAGTATATACAAAATTAAATGAAAAGGGTAATGAGGTATTTATTGATAGTAAAGTATTTTATATTTCTGTTGGATCTATACTGTCCCGGAAGGTGGTCGAAGCGCTGCATGTAGAAAGTAGTGGAATTCTCAGTTACTGTTGTTGGATTGAAGTGCTTTTAACTTCTGGACTTAAAACACTTAGCTAAACAAATAAATTGATAATTCATTCATTCATGAGTAATCTGTCAGACGGCAGGTCCACAGTCTCTTCCCAAAACATTTCCTCCACTTGATGCGATCTAGTAGAGCTTTCTCCTTCAAATGAGAATATCCTCTTCTGTCCCCAAGGTCATCCAGTATATTCTTACGTCTTCTTTCTCGTCTTCTGGTCACTTCTACCCGCCCCTCTATCTTTCCTTCAATAACCTCTTTTAGAAGGCAGTTACTGCGTAAGATATGACCAATCCAATATAATATAATAATGGAGAGCATTTTGAAAATTAACGTTTATTCGAATTCAAGAAATGCCTTCAATCAAAACGATGCTTTTTGATCTCTTTGGGCGCGTTCACAGTCCTGCGGATCGCTTGCGAATTTTCCTCCGTCTGTACGCATGAAACAGCTCCAGAGACCAAAATACTGGGGTCGTGGGCACAACAAAGAAAAGTAAGTTTTAATAAGATCGGGTGAAATAATTAACAATTTCACAATAGAGCGTAGCAGCAATAACGCCTCAAATTAGGCTACGTCACCTTCCCTTGACATCTTTTCAGTTCAATGATAGCTTGTCATTTCATGCTACATAGACCCTGGTCTAAGCTACTGGCAAATTAATCTACTCTTACAATAGATGTTAATTATATACACATATAATATCTGAAATGCACAATGTACACAGTGTTCAACTTTTCACATTCACAGCAGCCTTCCTATTGTAATAGTAGTTTCCGGAAAAGTACTGATGCCCTCTGAGGATGATCCGTACGGAATGAAACATGTAAGGGTGACGAGTCTTCAAATGATAAAACTTAAATAGTCACATTAGACGGTGTTATTTTTGTCTTTGTAACGTTTGTTTTACTATGTACTGTATAAAAAACTCGGTGACTTTAGTCTGCAAGGGAACTATACCGACCGAGCGACCGCTGCTTGTCGGCGAAGTTTTAGTGCCAACTTTTGCGGATAGAGGGTGTCGCGTGGCCAGTGCAACGAATCCCCACGGCCGTTAATTTCAGTTTTCTTGACCGAATTATGTACTATATACTGTGATTATATCAACTATGCCGCTTTATTTATTGTTACTGCTTTAACAGAATTTTATCAGTCTTGTTCACTGATTCTTCTACAAACTGATTTAAATTATTTGTAGATCTTCAGTAAATAGAACTGAATGTAACTGTTGCAGATGAAGATGTCTAACAAATAAACTGCCGTGGCCGCAATTGCTTACAGCCTATCTGATTCTATTTACTAAGAAACGGTACACGTTGGCAGGCGTACTTTCAAATAATTAATGTATACCGGCAACATGTGAAAAGTTAAGATAAGCACATACGTCTGTAAATTTTACGTTTCTACCTCAAGGCAAAATCCCAGCAAGAGACTTCCGGGAAATATGTCTTTATGGGGAAATCGTTCTTCCACATACTCTCTAAGACATTACAGAAGTTTTCCATTCAAGAATTTTTCCTGTTTATTTAATATTCAATACGTTCATTTCACTTTAAAAATCCATATTCTTTATTCCAGTTTCCTTTTGGTGAACTTCGACTTCAGCTCATGATGAAAACTGAAACTGTCGTTCTCTTCATTTGTTTTGGTAAGTAAATCTCTGTTACATGGAAGAGTTAATGTAAGGCTTCATATAACCGAACTTTGTAATAGCCCAGTGTGGGTAAGAAGCGAAGCGGCGCACTGAGAGTATGCAGAGATCTTCCATATGAAATTATATCAAGATATGATAAACGATTTACGATATGCGCGAACAAGTTGTTTTATAACTTTGTGGTAAATCGATAGGCCTTAAAATTGAGATTGTCAAGCACCTTTTACTTTTCATACATCTTCGTGTAGAATTTAAAGAGGAACCTGTACTACGGATTAGCAATTGATAATAGACACATAGACATGATCTCTACATATGGCTACTTTACTTTGTAAAGAACTCCACAAACCACATCTCTGGCACTAAACCCCGAAATTTCGACACCGCTGATTTAGAAACTTGGCATTGGACAGGAATCGGACCCACTTTTATCGATCTAACATAAACATAAATTGTTTCCCTAATATCATGTTTCAGCATCGTGTTGCATTGAGGTATAACTTATAATTTTGTTTTCCGTCTATAATGCAGGAACATTAATTTAACAACATTAATTCACACTTAATTCACTAAATGTTCGTTAAATGTTTAAAATGCCACTAAAATGATTACAATATACGTACATTCGGTGTTCATGCTACAAGTTTGTGGCGCATAGTGCCATCTTCTTAATGGAGTCTACTGCACTATACAGGGGCACGCGGTAGCGTAGTTGATTGAGGCACTATGCTACAAACCGGAAGGTCGCGGGTTCAAGTCCAGATGAAGTCATTGGATTTTTCCAATTGACCTAAACCTTCCAACCGCACTATGGCCCTGGGTTCGACTCAGCCTCTAACAGAAATGAGTACCAGGAATTAATTAAATAATTTTCCTTGGGAGTAAAGTGCGACCGGCGAGTAAGGCTGACAACCTTACCGCCATCTTTGAGCCAATTGTCTAGATAATGTTGGAACGTCAACGTCTTACAACCCTATGGGTCTTCGCGGCCTGTTACAAGGACAGCTTTACTTTACTTTTTACTGCAATGTGCTCTTAGAAGAGCATTCAGTGAGGCATGTCGTTATTATTATTACTACTTTTTAAATCTGATGCTGTAGAGTGATTTTATAGCATGATTCTCTTCCCATCTCATATACGAGTATTGCGGCTGTTTTCGTGTCCCATTGTGTGTGTATCTACTATTGCTTTGTATTCCTTGTACTATCATGCTCTCATTATCTGCGCTGACTTCCACGTGACTCCTGCACAGCTCGCTTCTCCACACAATTATTGATGTGCCTCTTGTCTGCTCATCCGCGCTGCAACCCACCCATCGTAACATCCCTCATTTCGCTGACACGAAAAAAAACAGTTGAGTTCTATGAATCACGAAGTTGGTGAGATTGAATTCCTGGTAGGGGCTTTGATATTTTTGCATAATTTCATTGTTTTGAAAAAGAAAGTATATCAGTTTTATGAGGTCACCTGACAATGTTCGACCGCCCGCTGCGATCTTTATCTTACTTGGTCTGTATATCATGCCACCTGAGGTGATCTCAACTGCGTAAGCTCTAAATCCCTCCCATCAGTAACACCAACACGGAATCCTATCAAATTGTTGAGGTAATAACCTTAATATTTATTGAATGCCTGAAACGATCGTCATGAAACTTGGCATGAAATCCTTGCCACGTGGGGCACTTTAAATACCTCCCATTTCTGTATTAAGAACACTACGGCGCTTCCGGTGCTGTAATGTGGAAGCCGTAACCTGCATCTAACCTAACATTCATGTCATGGACATAATAATCATTACTGCCTTTTAGCAGACCAGGAGCCTGAATAGCGTAGTCGGTATGACGACTGGCTAGGGGCTAGACGACCGAAGAGTCGAAGGTCGAGTCCCGGTAGGGGCCACGTCGTCCAAACCGTCTCTGGGGTCCAACCAACCTCCTATCCAATGGACATCGGGGGCTCATTTACTTGGGGTAAAATGGCCGGGGCCTGAAGCTGATCACTCACCTCCAGCTAGTGCCGAGGTCAAGAAAGTTTGGGTCTATACATCCACTCCCCCATACGCCTTCGTTGCGTAGTGCTTCATTAGTTAAGCACGATGACAACTTTCTACTATTTACCTTATTACTATTTACCTTAGTGGACCTCTCTTATAAATATTGTTAAAATTGTGTTATCAGAATAGAGCAAATATACATTTATATTTTCAAACATTAAAAGACTACGATTACAGATCATTTAATTAAATACTTATGCAACCGTACACATTGTAATACTCGTACCTGTTGCATGTAATTAGTGTACCAGATTTACATAGAATTTCACGTGGTCATATAGCAGCCTGTGATATTTCTGTGGACAAGCAAGAGCGCATGAATTTTAAGGTTTAATATTGAAATACTGGCTCTGAGATCACCTCCGTTACTCAGAATTGTGTTTATAGTATTATTTTATTGACATAATTACAAATACATATTAAAGTTTCTTTTCTACTTGGCACATCAAGCGAAAGGAAAGTAAGTGATTAATTCTTCCAAGAACTTCTTTCATCTTCATCACATCCGGACCAGCCCCGGAGCCCTTCCAGTTTTCATCCATTCCTCGTGAGCAAAAGGATTCTGAAGCCACTATCCGCGTTCCTGCCGTGCCTTGTGCAAATACTATTTCTGGAGAACTTGCGAACACGGAATTTTTTCCCAGCAATGCCAATTTAAGCACAATGGTCTAGGCAAAAGGAATTAAATTCTCAAGAAAGAAGGAAATTTTCGCTTCGCAGCTGTCCGCAATTACTCTCCATTCCACACAATCTCTTGCAGTGTTCATTCCACGGGGTTCAAGTGGCAGGAACATGAAGCTGACTATTTGTCTATGCCTAATAACACAATATACAACGCGTGAACACCTGAGTCAACTCCATCTGTTTAGGAGCTGAAACAATGTACAGAGTCTTCAAATTATGACGCTGCGAAGGTGCTTCACAAACGAGGTGACCAAGACGAGTTCGGGCCTTACAATAGCACCGCAGCGTCATATAATGAAATCCCTGTATTTACTGTTACTCTGTATTTTGTAACGATGTTTTACTGTTTTCTTTGTAGGCGTTGCTGCCTGCACTGCACCTGACCTAGCAGCAGAAGAGTCATTCATGTTGGAAGTCAGGGTGAGTTTTCTTCAACATTTTGACATGAGAGCGATCTGAGGAATCTAATCAAGACACGATGACTTAAGAATTTGTAGCGGGAATTATTGAAGACGTTAGTTAGTTAGTTATTGGAGAGGGTGGGTTTCCCCATGTACTTAGACCTGTATTGGTCCATTGTGCTTCCCTCTATGATTTCTACCAGTCTCTATATCCTACCGGTACTGGTGCTTACCATCAGTCCCGCCCAGCCAGCGAGACCGGCTCTACTACCTGAGAGGTATCTATAGTGCTTCTCCCTTCTACCAGAGGTATTAGAGACTGCTGTTGGGCGGGAAACGTCCGTTAATTTGGCTCAGTGACGTCCTTTGGAGATATGAGGTTCTTTACGTGCCGTAAAGCTACGACACGGGACCCACGGCTTAAAGTCCCTCCTGGAGGACTTGTTCCCTGAAATTTTCCGCCCTTAATAATTCAACGACTTCCGCCGGGTATTTGAACCCGCGTACTACGAGTCATGAGGTGCGAACGTTACCTCTAGACTACGGAGGCCGCTTATTGAAGACGTTAGTAGAACTTTCGTTGTGCTGTCTGTTTGAAACGGCTTTGAAAGTACGTCATACCTTGAATAGGTAATGTCATGGAAGAAGATAAGTCCTGTGTGTACAGTGAGGTCACCGATATGGGAAGCTCGCTGAACATGGAATACGGTGACTTTATAATGACAACATAACGACCTACGTCACCATTTGATTGAGATGCACCCTCAAGCACATTTTAGATTTAGCAAAATTCGTATGCGAGAGGTTACCCAACCACGGTTACCCTGCGAGTTGCCCTAAAATATCACTTTTGTAGGATTTCTGGAGCCCTACTGCATTCGTTGACTGGTCTCTTACATAGAATAATTTCTTACAGAATGGAATTCTAATAACGCCCAAAGGAGCGAGTGTGTCTTGCTTAGACAACACTTCTGAGCTTTACTGCTGTCATGTCAAAAAAACACTAAATTTTTAAACGTAATCGAATACAAAATCATTTTTATAGTCTAATCAGGCAGTGCTTTTCCGTTTGCCGTTATGCCCTTTCCATCGAAATAAGGCGCAGTAAGAGCAGAACAGGGAACAATAAACGGCAGTTTCAGTAGTGTTGCCAAAATGTCCATATAGGCTATTGTTGTGGTTATTATTATTACCCTCTTCCTTTTGTCTCTTTTCTTGTGCTTACATTATAATTTGCCTTCGGGATCTTCAGTGTAAACGTAAGTAAGACAATTATTGTGTTATAGTCATTACTATTATTATTACTGGGGCACGCGTTAGCGTAGTTGTTTGATGCACTATGCGGAAGGTCGCGGGATCTAATCCCGCCATTGATTTCTTTAGTTTACCTAATCTTTCCAGCTGCACTATGGCCCTGGGGTCGACTCAGCCTCTGAAAGAAATGAGTACCAGGAATATTCTCGGAATGATCTTGGGGGTAAAGGGCGGCCGGCGCGTAGGGCTGACAACCTTACCGCCATCTATGAGCCGATTGTCTATAAAATGTGGGAACCTCAACATCTCACAACCCTATGGGCCTCCACGGCCTGTTACAGGGATAGCTTTACTTATTTTACTTTACTTTACTTTACTATTACTACTAATACGTAACACATTATAAGTTTCTTTAGAGCTCTTCAAGCTCACAGTGTGGATATTCAGTGATTGTTCCCCAAGGACCAAAAGGCGTAAGGATGGATCAGTTGGGATGGTCATCTGTGGAAACAGTGTCTACAGATGGAAAGTATCGATTGTTCTCGAAACTGCAGCAGGCTTTCTGAAATTGTAAATGTGTAATTCCGTATACCTTATGGAACGACCACTGTGGTTGTGATAGAGTAAAATATTAAAGGTAAAGGTATCCCTGTAACAGGCCGTGAAGACCCATAAAGTTCTAACATGTCGAGGCTCCTCGTGATGTTGTCAGCGTTAGGCGGCGGCCGCCCTTTAGCCCCAGGAAGATTCCTGGTTCTCATATCTGTTAGAGGCTGAGTCGACAAGAAAATCTTTACCGCAAAGCTCTGAGGGGCGAAAATATCCTGCAGTTAGCCTTAGAAAACAGTGCAGTGAGCATGTTCTTATTTAGTAAGTCGATGTAAATTAAGGCAATTATGTTTCCTCAAGCTTTGTTTTCAACTGTAAATTAAGAATAATCCTTGAAGGGTTTGCTTCAGATAAGAATGGTTAAATATTTTAAGTTGTGTGAACACAGGCCTTATATTCAGATCTAAAATACATAGCGTCGAATGGTTACGGTGTGACTGACCGGAAGTAAACTGGAAGGAAACGGTAGTAGCATAATCGCTATACTATCCCGGTATTCTCCTAGAGGTACTAAAGAAATGCAAGAAAACCTCAGTCACAATAATCGTTGCGTAGACCGTGATTCGAACCGAGCATTACCGCTACACCAGCCTGCTCTTTGTTAAGATGTATTCTCTCTCCCTCTTTTAATTCATCACACACACACACACGCACACGAGCGCTGTTATTATCGTTATCAAAATGGGACTTAACAAGAATAGATTACGAATATATAAAATGGATTGAGCTGGCAAAGACCGTCTCTGTGGCCTAGTGGTCAGAGTTCCTGGCTATAGATCCACAGGTTCGGGTTCGATTCCTTTCACTACCAGGTTTTCTGAGAAGTAGTGGGTCTGGAACGGGGTCCACTCAGCCTCGTGAGGACAATTGAGGAGCTATTTCAAGGAAATCGCGGCTCCGGTCTAAAATACCGAGATTAACGGCCGTGCGAATTCGTTGCGCTGACCACGCGACACCTCTATCCGCTAAAGTTGGCACTAACTTCGCCGACAAACGGAGATCGCTTGGTCGGTATAGTTCGGTTGCGGACTACACGTCACGGAGTTCTTTTTTTGAGCTGGCAAAATGTAGTCGAGTTCCAAGTGAATACCCAGACTCGTTGCTAAGCAATGGCTCTGCAAACAACGCTCGTTGCTAGGCAACACATTCCTAACATGCGCAATGTAATGTCTGGAAAGCGGTGTTTTCTACGAGATACTTGCGGATGGCTGCGAGCGCAACAATGGATATAGCAACACAGAAACGGCGTTATTTTGTGCGGTGAGTGCCTAAATGTTACAAGCATGAAAATTAGTGGAGCGAGTTGAGTTGAATTGATTCAATGCAGTGGAGCGAGTGAGTGAGAGGGCGGCTACATTCAGTCGTTGTGACCTGTTGCTGCTAGAAGCTGATAGCTTCGGCAATCCAGAGTAAGGGGAACGTCCGCCTTTAGAAGCCGTTACCAGGCAATGACAGGTGAAGACACAGCAGACTGAGAAGACTTAGTACGTACTGCGGTGAAATGTAAACCATGTGAATTAGCGAGAGCGCTAAGTCACTTTTAGTCATAATATGTAAGTAGCCAATAAATCCCATTACCAATCCAAACCCCGCCTATAGTCAACAATATATGTGACAATATACTCCCTGCTACCTGAAATTTCGCTACCTATCTGGCTATTTAGTCAATTGGTTAATTTTTTCTGTTAGCCGAGAAATTAGTGAGTCGGATGACGGTGTGTGGGTTAGTTAGGTTAGTTAGATTGTTTAATAAATGGGCAGTCAATTGGTTATCCAGTCACCCTACTTTCCCTTGGTTTGAGGCGAGATAGCCCAGTCAGTAAAGCGTGAGTTTCGAGACTGAATAAGGACAACTAAATTGCTCATTCAGTGTGTACGTGGGTTCTTTTACCAGGGATAAAGCGATCGGAGCGTGAAGCGATCCAGTGCCGAGATTAAGACTGGCATGATCCTAGGGATTCTGCTTAAGCACAATGAAACTCGCTGACCACTGCTTGTTCTATTGCAGGCAAAGCGTGACCATTCAGAAGACGAGAATGGCCACGACTTCGGCAACGAAGAGGCCGCTACGAAGAATTACGGCTATGGAGGTGCGTATGCAGGCAACGGACATCACCGCCACCACGGTGTGGGGTACAGTATAGGCAGCGGCTTGGTATCCATTGCCCAAGGGGCAGCTGACCAGGCGAACACAGCGATCCAAAACCAGCATGTAGCAGGGGGGCAGGCTGCGTTCCAGGCGAAGAACAACCTTGCGCAGAATGCAGCAGCCGCTGCTGCTACCGCGCAGGCCGCTCTTGCAGGGAAACAGGTGATCGTGAGCAACCTGGAGCAACAGCACCGCGACACGCAGGGCCAGGTGGAAGCTGAAGCGCTGCAACTGACACAGGCCCAGCGCGCAGCCGTTGCAACGCAGCAATCTGCACAACACGCCCAGGCTCAGGTATGGGCTCACGTAACAGGCACGGCAGGAGTATATTATTAAAACCAAACCTACACAACTGGAAATAACTTATTTACAGAACATAACCCAAAATCCTGTTAATCAATTACACATAGCTGGAAGGGCGAGGCATATAAAACGCACTGGCGAACTAGACGTATGCCAAAGTTTGTTAAGAAACTTGAAGGGGAATCACAGTTTGGAAAGCTTGTCATAGACGAAAGCGCATTATAAAAATGGAAAGATATGAGTTCTATAACATAATGAATCGTGGGTGCGATAGGTTTACATACAGAATGAAAAGAGAAAGTGCAAACTGTATAAGAAATACTGGCGAAGACACTGGAAGGAGATGCATTTTGCAGACGCCGGAGTATGGAATACTATTACTAAAACGGATCTTACAAAAATGTAAACAACAGTTTCATTATGAAAGGGAACTGATCTAGAGAAAATCAGAGGCTTCAAGTCTGATATTTAAATTTAATTAATAAAAACAGTAAATGTGTATGGAACTTTGACGGAGAAAGTGAACACGTGGTAGAGTAGTTGGTTCAGGCACTATGCTACAAGCTGGAAGGTCGCGGGTTCGATTGCCGATGGGGTGATTGGATTTTTCAATTGACCTAATACATCCAGCCGCACTATGGCCCTGGATTCGACAGAGTCTCTAACAGAAATGAATACCAGGAATCTCCCTGGGAGTAGAGGTCGGGCCGGCGTGTAAGGCTGACAACCTCACCGCCATCTGTGATCCAACTATCTAGAAAACTTGTGAGCCTCGACCTCTCACAACCCTATGGGGTTATACTTTATCGTAGATTGGAGTAAACTGAAATTGATATGCATGCTATAGACAAAGTCTCTAGCGTACCTGTGCACAATATTACTCTTATGCCACATTTGCCATTTTCTGCCGTTTTCGAAACACGTAAGAAACCCACTATAACGAAAAAAGACATTGGCACTGAAGAGGACACGCAACGATCCAGAAATAAATATTATCTAACAACAGTGTATCAAATTAAACATTTTAATGATTAAACTGACTTCATGGAGCTGAGCCTTCTTGAGCCAGCAGTTGTGCCTCTATTCAAGAGCTTCCCAGCATTTTATGGAGCCCGAAAGTTCAATATAATGTTCAAAAGAGCCCTCCATTGGTCCCAAACATGAGCCAGATCAATCCAGTTCATACCACCCCATCCGATCTAAGATTCATTTTATCATTATCCACCCACTTACGTCTTGGTCTTCCTAGTGGTCCCTTTCTTTCTGGCTTTCCCACCACATTTTAATAATTTTGTACTTTAATATTTAATGTTTTGCATACTAGTACAATATATACGTTGGCATTAACATTGAAAAATAACATGCATGACCTCCCCAATGCCCAATATAGGGGGAAAAACAGCAAAGTTGAGACTGGGTGCAAATATTTTACATGATTGTGGCCATAAGAGTTGTCCCTGTGCTTAACTAATTAAGCACTACGCCATTAAGGCGTGGGGAGCGGATGTATAGATCCACATTATTTTGACCTCTGTACTAGCTGGAGGTGAGTGGTCAGCTTCACGCCTCGGTACCCATTGGATAGGAGGTTGGGTGGACTCCAGAGCCGGTCTGGACGACATGGAGAAGAGAAAATTCTTTACTTTACTGCGTTATTACGGCACCAATGTATTATGAAACAAAGGGAAGTCGAATTACAGCACCGCATAATACTTATTGTAGTGTTACGTAACAAGTCTTTCTCTTGGGAAGCCCGTCTTCTAGTGCAGTGGCTCTCAAACTTTCTCAGACCGCGGCCCAGTAAATTCTTTTTTCTGCAAGACGAGGGCGCGGTATAATTGATGCCAGGCACGGCGGTTGAGAAACACTGTCTTAGTGTCTCACCGACTATTGTTGAATTTTAACTTCGCAGGTTCGGTCGCTGACTGCCGCTTTGAACGCTGCACAGACGAACGCAGACCAGGCGGCGAGGGCTGCGCAAGAGGCGGCTTCCGAGGCGGCATCACAGAGCAACATGCTGGCGGCCGCAAAGCAGCGTCTGAACCTGATATCTGACCAGTTGGGAGATGCGCGCGCAGATCTGGAGGCAACACAAAATGCCGCTCTACGCGCCGCTCAGGCTGCGCAAACTGCTCAGGCCAATGCTGCCAAACACGCAGTGGGCCTGCACGGAGGATTCGAGGAAGGTGGTTTCAGGGGAGGCTTCCACCATTACTAATTTAGTCAGTTACTTCCTTCCACATTCCTTTCTTAACGTGTTTCTCCCTTCTCCTATTCTTTTTCTTACTTCTTTATTCCCTACTCAATTCACTCCTTAAATTTTCCTTCCTTTTAATCATCGTTACATCATTTTGCTTTCCCTTTTTTCTTTTTTCAGTCTTTCTCAGCCCTAGTTATACATAGGATATTACAGTTACCATTGCAAGTCGTTCGTATTGTAAACACTGCAGGAACATCCGTAGATTTTTAGAAATTATCTTCTGCTGGCAGAATATCCTATTATGTATATCTTACATGGTATCTTGGATTGGTGTATTTCAATGATGTATGCTGCGCCAGAAGCAACCTACTTTTACGTGTATTTTATAATTCGTTTGTTGCTAATCTTGTTTTGTATGCTTACGCCTCAATCATGTTCTTGTATGTGTTCCTTTTATAATACAGAAAAACTTGTTAAAAGATAAGTGTATTTTCTTCGTCTTGCACTCTTATATTGTGTACAGACTATATCCCTAAACTCTGCGTAAAAGGCAATAATCTCCTCCGGAGTGGCTATCAGGTGCCTTCATGAATAATACAAAGGTCAAATGTGTTGCCAACTTACATTCAAATCTTGGAACTATGTTTTCAATGCATGTACAAAAATTTTGTAACAATACACGTTTTAACATGTTCATTGATAAAGCTCCTTTCAAGTTAAAATAAGACGTCAAACTGTAATTTGAGAATACCTAATTTATTTTATTATGCTGACTAAATACTATTAAAATCCCCAAATGTTGCAATCACAAATGAGCATCTGAACCAGCTCAGTACTTCACATCTAGAGAACCACACGACAGCACCCACCGCGGTGTCACTGCAAGCACGAGACTGAGTCAGCAATACAAAGTGTAGTACAATGCATCATCCCCATCATTATATTTTAACATAATATTAGTTTTGTCTTCTTCTGACATTTATTAACCATTTTATTCAATAATGTAAATTGTAAAGTGTCCTTTAATACCTGATATCTTCCCTGAACATGGTCATTTGTGACAAAAATATGTCAGGGTTTTATCAGAAAGTTAAAATAAATCAGATACACTTAGTTCGTGAATTTACAGCCTATTTTAACATGTAAATCATACCCAAAAACCAAACTCCTTTCACATATTTGAATGTCCATTACAACATTTAGTTTAAAACAGAAAGTGACAATGGCATCATCTTTATCTAGTGATGGGATATCTGTGCACAGATTTTCTTCTGTACCCTGCAGATTTTGTCTTGTGCTCTAGAACAATATGAAAAGAAAGTCGTTCCTTTGTTTGAATTTTGTTTGGTTCTCTATGGGTAATGGCATGAATTCTAATTGATGGTGTTCACATGGTGCTGCAGAATATTCTCTTCTGTATGGGAGCACTTGTAGATTTGTGTTGGTTTTGTGTTGACATGGTTTGTGGGCATGTAGTATCCATCGGCTGTAATAATGCTGGAATTACCTTTGAAATGCAATTAAAATATCCCACAAGAAAATGGATTTGGAGAGAGGGAAAACAGTGTCCAATGTGTTGAACCTGAAGACCTTGCTACACATATGGATTTCTGCCACTGACTCACAGAACACACACAGATCATAAGCATAATATTATTCATGAATGAAGCTTCACTTTATTTATTTATTTATTTATTTATTTATTTATTTACTTCATATCCATGGATCATTATACATGATATAGGACAAGTCAAATGCTTAGCAATAATGAATAATAATAATAAAATCGGCGAGTCCCCCCTGGCTGCAAGGGCTTCGACTAACTTCTTGACAAAGTGGATGAACAGTGAAGGTGAATCAGTGAGAATAGGCAAATAGCAAGCACATGTGGTGAACATTAATAGCAACCTCACACAATTATCAAGTAGGAATGTTTTCAAAGTCTTTCTAAACATGTATAGTACTGGTATCTCTTTAATAGATTGTGACAACTGATTTAACATATGAAGTCCAATATTATTGAAATTATTTTTGTATAGACTCGTATTACATGGCACTATGAAGAAGTCCTGTTTCCTCCTTGTATTGTGTGAGTGTATTCCTGAATTGGTTATGAAAACATCAAATCGGTTTTTATGTAAACAAGAATTTCATATATATATACAGACATGGTAAAGGTAATATATGTAACGATTTAAAATATTGTTTACAGCTAATAGTTTTCGGGATTTATATCATAGCTCTAATAGCTCTCTTCTGCAACCTAAAGATCAATTTTGCATTTACTGAATTGCCCAAAAATATAGCTGCTTGTACCGGTTCTCACAGTCTCTTCGCCTGCGGATTTCTTATATTTTTCCTTCTACCCTGAAGATGGAGGCGATACGTTCCTCCGAAACGTCGGTTAACACCACATATACACGGTGCCAAATCCCAGAAGACTGCTTTCTTCATATTTTACATAATTTATTTGCTAGTTGTTGAGTATGTGCAGACCACCTTAGATTCTTATCCAGCGAAACTCCCAAAAATTTTGTATGTGCTGTATAATTGATGTCCGTATCATAGAGCTTTATTGACAGGCAGTCGACTTGTACTTTTTGAGGTTGATGAAAGGATATTGCTGTTGTTTTTTCTTTATTAATAATTAATCTGTTCCTTTCAAACCACTCTGTGAGTGCATTTATTGTTTTATTTATTTTTCTTTGGACATCTTTAGCACTATTTCCTGTTATAAGAATACTAGTATCATCAGCAAAAAACGTTGGTCTTCCATGTTCAATGATGGCTTAGCAAAAACAACACTGGTCCGATAACAGAACCTTGTGGGACTCCATGTCTTATGGGTCTCTTTCACGATAGATAGTTAGTGATTTCATTAGTTTCTTTACATCTGTTTGTAATTTCCACTTTTTGTTCCCTGTTTTCTAGACATGATTGAAACCATTTTAGTGCAAGCCACTCTTATTCCCATTCTTGTCACCTTCCTTAGCAATATATCATGATCAACTAAGTCAAATGCCTTTGACAGATCCCGAAATATCCCTATACTTATTTCCCTCTCATCCACTGATTTGTAGACCCTCTCTATAAACTCTGCAGTTGCAGTTTTTGTTCATTTCCCTTTACAGAAACCGTGCTGTTTATTGTTAATTATGCTGTCATTATTAAAAAATGATAAACGTCTTTTATATGATTTTTTCAATTATTTTTGAAAAAACAGAAATTAGTGAAACTGGTCTATAATTTCCAACTTATGTATCAAATCCTTTCTTATACGAAGGTTTCACCTTTGCAATTTTTAGTCGATCAGGAAAATGCCCAGTTGAGAGTGACAGATTTATTATGTGTCAAAGCAGTTGTTATTTTAGGATAATATTAATAATAATAATATACTCTAGAATATCATATATTCCCCTTGATTTTATGCCTGCCACTTCCACTTCAGTAGCTGGGGTTAAGAACATGCTGTTACTATTATATTTTACTGTATTGACATTAACTTCATTGGTTTTGGATAATGGATTGCCACTCAATATCTTTTGGGCAATACTGGTATAGTATTCATTAAAGACATTGGCTATAGCTTTTGGATCCTCTATATTTACTCCATTCTTGCTTATTTCAATATTCTTCGTTGCTTTTTTCTGTTTACATAGTTCCTCCTCAATTAGGTCTCACATGGCTTTTGATTTATTCCCTGATGCTCTTATTCGCATGTTATTACTTAATTTTTGCTTCACTGATAACTTTGTTGTATATTTTTTTTTGTAATGACAATAATATACTTTAAATTCTTCTGGCATATTTCCTTCTTTCATTAGACTATTAAGAAACCTGAGTCTATTCCCTGATACCCTTATTCCCGAGGTGACCCATTTATTTTCCTGCTGTTTAGTTTTTACCCTTTTTTTAGGCATTGCTATTGTAATAATACTGTAAAGTACCTAAAAACTCATTGTATGCCTCTTTCACCAAATTTTGCATAAAAATCAAGCTCCAAAGTCTCTTTTTCTAGTAGATAGTTTAGGTATTGTACATTCTCTTCCCTGTAAGATCTAGCTAATCTGAATTCTTCCTTTAGTCTAACTTGCCCTTCTTATTCTTATACTGCATCTGTATTTGTAGTATCTGTGCTTTATGGTCAGAAAATTCTCTTTCAGTCACCTTAAGATTGTATCCCCATAAGCCCTTGTTCAATATTATTTAATCTAATGCTGTTTGACTTCTGGGTCCTATTCTCGTTGGGACATCAACTATTGCTTGCAAGCCATAGGAGTTTAACATTGTCTGTAGTTGTAGATTTATTCTTCTTCCTAGGAAATCTATGTAGAGATCACATATGATAATGATGTTCTTCTCTTTGTTTATTAAATTACTGATTATTGTGTCAATGGTTTCAATAAATATATTAATATTACTGTTTGCAGTTCTATATACACAAATAATAACTGTATTAAACTGGATAAATTTGATTATACTAGCCTCAAAGTGTTCTTCTTGATTCAAGTTTTCAAACAAGTTATAAGGCTTTGTTTCTAGATTTGTTTTGACATAGATACATGAGCCTCCATGCTGCTTATTTTTCCTACAGAATTTCGATATAACGGAATAGTTTTCAAAATTATAATAAACTATTTCTTGTTCCTCTAACAATGGTGTAAATAATATGTGAAGATTCTGTTAGTGGCCATTGTACATCCACATGTGATGAGAGGCAGGTACTACTGGAGTAGGTAGAAATGTGACAAGTAAACTGGACCATTCGTCTTAGGCCATCAATTAATGTGAAATATTTACAAAATGTTTCTGAGAAATGATTTACCAGGTATGTTAGAAAACTTCTTATTAATGACAAAACTTATGATGTACTTTCAACATGACAGTGGTTCCATGCATTACCCTTCACATGTAAGGGAGTATTTATGAGTTTTCCAAACCACTATAGAGACTGCAGTGAATGACAGGCATTGCAACGTGGTCACCAGACTTCAGCCCTACAAATTACTTTCTTTGGGGCCACATGAATAGCTTAGTGTACAAAAAAAACTTTGACACAAGACCTGCGCTGTTTTGTCAAATATATGCAGTGCCAGAACACACATGAAACCACCATGAGGCAATTACTGCAATTGATGCAGGCTGATTATTGTATGGACTCACAAGGAGGACAATTTAAATGATTACTGTGATTTTGTTCCATGTATTTAAAAGCTTGGTTTTTAACAAATGTGTAACAAATCACTTTCTTTAAAAACTCACCTGTTCATATCTCCATAACAGTTAATTTCAGACTGTGTTATGATTATTTTAAAGTTAATTCATCCAAGAGCCATTAGAAGAATGAGAGGAAACTACCTCTTGACATATCCCACACATATAACAATGAAATAGAAGGGTGAGATGATGCACTCTGGGCATTCACTATAAGCCATAGAATGAACCATTTGCATGCAAGCGCTAACCACAGAGTGTGATAACAGGAGGTGCTGCTAATACTTTTTGCTAGCAATGTTATAAATATCCAGTCAGAGGTGTATGCCATTAAGGCATGTGCAGTTGAGAATTTAGATAGGAACTATAGAAATAGGGACATCTGCATCCTATCAGACAGTCAAGCTGCAATTAAAGCACTTGGTATACACCAAATCACTTCAAAATTGGTTTGGGACCCACCAATCCCTCATACAACTGGCCAGACATAACAGAGTTCAGCTGTTATGGGTACCAAGTCATGAGGGTATTGTAGGGAATGAAACCGCAGATCAGCTGGCAAGAACAGGATCTGAACATCTGAAGCAGCATGCGGAATCTCAGTAGGAGCGTATTGCTGGGAAT